TAGAGGTGTTAGTGGGTTTGAACTACTGATCTTTTGGTTAGCAGCCAAGAGCATACCATTCCACCATCAAGGCTCCTTATGGTAAGTTACAAGGTCATCATATAAATATGTATTTATTCAATGAATGAATGATTTTAGATATTCAGTATCTGGTTGGGTATAAAATTGGTTCATTTCACTAATTTTTTATTTAAACAATATAAATTTTTACTTTTTTTCTAGTTTTGAAGTCACTATTTTTAACACAAATCTTACACTGATTCTATCAGCTCTATTTGAAATTTAAAATGCCAAATAGAAATTTATAACATAAGTAAAGGAAAAAAGCACTTAGATCTTGAAAATTATTAGCTTTCATTTTTCCTTAGTAGCTCCAAGATCACAGTACCTTTTATGATGTATTTTAAAATATTTCAGATGGCTTCTCTCCAGGTTTCCTATTTCATCTCAAGAACTTGACTTTCATTTAGACATTACTTTTCATATATCCTCTGGTTAACAGTCAAGGATAATTTGGATTTTTTTTAGTACTTTTTATTGTGATTTGGTTGAAAGTTTACAGACCAAATTGATTTCTCATTAAACAATTCATAACATTTCACTTTGTAACATTGATTGCAATCTCCACAATGTAATAAATTCTTCCTGCTTTCTCCCTGTGTCTACCATTTCCATTACTCTTTTTTTTTTTTTCTATCCCTTCCTGCCTTCTGAGCTTTATCCCTGGGCAGATGCTATCATTTTAATCTCATACTGCTGAATATTCTAAGGAGTGTGTACCTCTTTTTGTTACTGTTCACCTTATAGACCTGCCTATTGTTTGGCTGAAAGTTGAGCCACAGGATGAGTTCAGTTCCAGGCTTGAAGGATGACCAAGGGCTATAATCTGGGGGTTCCACCAGTCTCTACCAGACTAGTAAGCCTGGTCATTTTTATGAGTTTTGTTCCACATTTTCCTTTCACTCTATCCGGGCCCTACTATTTTGATTCTTTTCAGAGTGTTTGGCAGTGAAAGCCAAACACTATCTAGTTTTTCTTATCTCAGGGTCATGGAGGCTAGAGTTCACATGGTCCAGTCCTTTAGACTAACTGTTTCAATGCATCTTTGATTTTTTTTGCTTTTCTTTGATTTGGAGAGAGACCACTAGTTGTACCTTAGATGGCCTCTCACAAGTTTTAAGACCCTAGTTGTTGCTCACCAAAGCAGGATGTAGAACATGTCTTTGTGGATCTTGTTAACCAATTCACTTTGTTGTTCCAAGACTATTGTCCTGAGCCTCCAGGCCCAGCAACTCATCCCCTCAGCTTTTTTGGTTATGGCTAATAGGTTTTCCTAACTTTGTTCACTGTACGCTCTATTATATTCATGGATGTATTTGCAGCATATGTAAATATTTATGTAGAAATATCTCCTGTCAAACCTATATATATTTGTGGGTGTAGTTCCATTCACCTTCCCACACCTGTTCAGTTTGTGTGTCTCTGTAGCCAATAGATTATTGTCATTACTCTTATTGCAGGATTGTGGATAGTGTTCACCTTTATTACTTTTAACTCCTGTGTTCCTCCCAGTGTCTTCCTTTGTTTTTATTATCTTGTGCTGATGCTCCTTTATTTTATATTGCCTTTCCCTTCACCCAAGTTAATATGTATCTACCCTCTAGAAGATTTACTCTCCCATCCCTGTTAAGGTACAAAGAATGTTTCCTTCTGTGTGCAAACCTTTTCTTGACTTTTTACAATAGTGATCTCATACAATATTCATACTGTTGTGATTAACTAATTTCACAAAGCATAAGGTCCTCCAGATTCACTCATCTTATGAGGTGTTTCACAGATTCAATATTACTATTTTAACGTCGCACAGTATTCCATTGTTTGTATTACAGTAATTTATGTATCCATTATCCATTGATGAGGACTTAGGCTGTTTACATATTTTTGTTACTGTAAGTAGTGCTGCAATGAACTTGGATGTGCATATATCTGTTCATGTCAGGTATCTTGTTTCACTAGGATATGTATCTATTAGTGGGATTGCTGGATCTTATGGTAGTTTTATTTCCAACTTTTTAAGAAAGCAACATACGGTTGCTTATAGTTACCATTTTCCACAGTGGTTGCACCATTTTACTATCCAACAAGCAGCATATGAAAGTTCCAATCCTTTACACCTTCTACTATAAGAAACCTAAGAGACCTATATAAATGGCAACTTTTCTTTCAGCATTTTTTCTTCCTACAGCAATTTTTCTTTTCTGTATTTTTTTTTTTTTTCACTTTCCTATTAATGCTGGGGTAAGATATTTCATTGTTGCTGTGATTTCCATATCTCTAATGGCTAATGGGAGAGTTCTCGTGGTGCAGTGGTTGAGGCATTCGGCTGCTGACCAAAAGGTTGGTAGTATGAACTCACCAGCCATTCTGTGGGAGAAACAAGTGGCAGTCTGCTCCTGTAAAGATGTACAGAGTAGAACTACTCCATAGGGTTGCTAGACATCAGGATTGACTCATTGGTAGTGGATTTGTTTATTTGTTTGCTTTTTTTCATGGCTAATGATCATGAGCATTTCTTCATGTGTTTATTGGCCACTTGAATGGCTTCTTTGGTGAAAAGTCTGTTCATGTCCTCTGCTCTGTTTTTAATTGACTGTTTGGACTTTTGTTTGTTGCTGAAGTGTTGAACTTTTCTGTAAATATTAGAGATTAGTCCTTTGTCTGATATATTGTTGCCAAAATTTTTCCCCAGACAGTAGGTTTCTTTTATGTTCTTCTGGTGAAGTCTTCTGATGTGAATAAATGTTTTATTTTTGGGATGTCCCAGTCATCTAGCTTGTCTTCTGGTGTTTGTGCATTTTCAGTTATGTTTGATAGTGTATTTATGCCATGCCTTAGAGCCCCTAAGGAACTCTAGTGTTGCAGTGGTTAAAGCAGTAGGCTGTTAAACAAAAGGTTCAAACCCACCAGCTGCTCTTCAAGAGAAAGATGAGGCAGTCTGCTTTTGGAAACCCTATGGGCCAGTTCTACACTGTTCTATAGGGTTGCTATGTATTAGAACTGACTCAATGACAGTGAATTTGTTTTTTATGGTTTATCAGGGTCCCTAGGTTTGCTCTATTTTTTATGTGAAGATCTTTATAGTTTTAAGTTTTACACTTAGGTTTTGATCCATCTTGTGTTTCTTTTTCTATATGGTGAGAGATGTGGATACTCTTTCCTTTTTCTGCAAATGGCTATCCAGTTTTCCAGCACCATGTATTAAAGAGAATATCTATCTGTGTCCATTTAAAGGGTTGGCCCTTTATCAAAGTCCATAGGTGGACGGATTTATTTCTGGGTTCTCAATTCTGTTCCTTGTGTCTGTCATAGTACCAAACCAGCCTGTTTTGACTACGGTGGCTGTTGAGTAGGTTTAGAAATTGGGGAGTGTGACTCCTCCTATAGTTTGTTCTTCTGCTTTGGTACTACTTTGTTTCTCCAGGGTCGCTTTCCTTTCCATATAAACTGGTGATTAGTTTCTACATCTCTTTAAAGAATGAAGGTAGAATGTGTGTCAGAATTACATTATATCTGTAGATTGCTTTGGGTAGTTCTGATATTTTCACAATGCTAAGTCTATCCATTTTCCATCTACAAGAAACCAAAGAGACCTACATAAATGGTAGTTTTTTGTAGTTTTCCTTGCATAAGTGTTTTGTATTTCTTGTTAGGTTTATTCCTAAGTACTTCATCTTTTGAGTGGTTATTGTAAATGGTATAATTTTCCTGATTTCCTTCCCAGAGTTCTCTTTGTTAGCTTAGAGGATTCCAACTGATTTTCGTATGTTGATCCTGAACCCTACCACTTTTCCATATCCTTCTATTAGTTTCAATAGTGTTCTTGTTGAGATTCTGGTATTTTCTGTGTATAGAAACATATTATCTGCAAATAGCAATTATTTTATTTCTTCTTTACCAATTTAGATGCCTTTTATTTCTTTTCTTGCCTTATTGCTTTCATGAAAAGAGAAGTGGTGATAATGGGCATCTTTGTCTGGTTAATGTTCACAAGCAGAATGTTTTCAGTCTCCCTCTGTTGAAAATTTTTTAGTTTGGCAGTGTGTTTCTAGAAATTTGTGAGTTTCTTCAAGATTTCCAAATCAATTCATAGTATTCTGTTATTACCCTTTTTATTTCAGTTGGTTCTGTTTTGACATCACCCATTTCATTTCTTACTCATGTTATTTGCATCTTCTCCTACTTTTCTTTTTTAACTATGCCAGTGATTTGCCAATTTTATTAATCCTCTCAAAGTACCAAATTCTAGTCTTGTTGATTCTTTCTATTGTTTTTCTGTTTCATTTATTTCTGCTCAAATCTTTATTATTTCCCTTCTTCTAGTGATCGTAGGCTTTTCTGCTGTTCTTTTTCTAATCATTGAAGATGTTAGGTTAAAGTGTTGATTGTGGTTCATTTTTTATATGTTTATTGCTTTTTCCTATTTTGTTTTTTAGGTGCCATTAAGGTGGTTAGGAGCTCTGGTAGCTTAGTGCCTAAGGCACTTGACTGCTAATCAGAAGGCTGGTGGTTCAAACCCACCAGCCACCCCTCGGAAGGAAAATAGGGCAATCTATTTCCATAGTGATACTGCCTCGGAAACCCAAGGAGAGGTCGCTATGAGTCAGGTCCGACTCGATGGCAAATAACAACAACAACAACATTAAGGTGGTTTGGACTCATAGTGACCCTATGTACAACAGAATGAAACACTGTCCAGTCCTTCACCAACCTCACAATTGTTGCTACACTTGAGCCAATCATTGCAGCCACTGTGTCTCATTGAGGCTCTTCCCCTTTTTCGCTGACCCTCTACTTTACTAAGCATGATATTCAGTTTCCATGTATTTGATTTTTCTCCTTGATCTTCCTGTTGCTGATTTTTAATTTTATAGCACTGTGATCTGAGAAGAAGCTTTGTAGTATTTTGATATTTTAAAATTTACTGAGGTTTGCTTTGTGGCTTCATATATGGTCTATTCTGGAGAATGTTTTATGTTTGCTGAAAAATAATACATATTATGCTGCTCCTCAGAAGGAAGATTGAGAGATCTACTTCTGTAGTAACACTGCCTCAGAAACCCAAGAAAGGATCGCCATAGGTTGGATCAGACTTGACAGCAGTGAGTTTGTTTTTTCATTTGTTTGGTTGGTTGGATGAAGCGTTCTGTACATGTCTATTCAATCAAGTTGGTTTATTGTGTATTGTTTAGATTTTCTGTATTTTTGTTGCATCTCTTCCTACTTGTCTGTCAATCATTGAAAGAGGTGTATTAAAGTCTACTATTATTATGGAGGAGCTCTAGTAGCATAATGCCTAAGGCACTTGACTGTTAACCAGAAGTCTGGAGGTTCAAACCCACCAGCCACTACTTGGAAGGAAGGTTGGACAATCTACTTCCGTAGTGATACCACCTTGGAAACCCAAGGAGGGGTCACTATGCATCAAGTCTGACTCAACAGCACATAACAACAAACAACAATTATTATGGAGTTGTCTCTTGCTATTTAAATTCCGTTAAAGTTTGATTTATGTACTTTGGGGCTCTTTCATGGGCTGCATAGATATTTATTATGGTTCTGTCCTCTTGTTGGATTGACCCTTTAATCATTATATAATGTCCTCTTTTGTCTTTTTTGCTGGTTTTGCCTCAAATTCTATTTTACAGAAATTAATATTGCCACTTCTGCTCTTTTTTTGGTTACCATTTGCTTGATATATGATTTTACATCCTTAGATTTTTAGCTTCTTTTCATCTTTGTGTCTTATGTATTTCTCACTTGTCTGGTGCATTTAAACCATTTACATTCAGTGAAATTATTGACATGTATCAATATCCTGCTGTCATTTTACTGGTGTTTGTATGTGTGTGCAGGTGTGTGTATATGGTGTTGATGGTTTCTTTATTCCATATTTTTCCATTTGTTTACAAATTTTCTCATCATTTCTCTCATTGCTTTTGTTTTAGTGTTAACTAAATATCTATGATTTTCTTCTTTTTTATTTTGGTGAGAAGGTTTATTCATCATCTTTGGAGTTATCTGCCGCTTATTATTATCTTTACAAGTTTAAAACTGTACTTTCAATCCTGATATCATCTTGATGTCTTATCTATTTGGAAGTCCTGGAACTGCAAAGTTTATTCCTCTTTTTACTTTGTAACTGTCATCATTTATAAATTCAAGTCTCTGGTTCCCTATTTTCAATCTTCTAGTTTGATTTTAGGAGCTCTGGTAGCATAATGCCTAAGGCATTTGACTGCTGCTAACCAGAAGGCCAGAGGTTCAAACTCACCAGCCACTCCTCGGAAAGAAGGTTGGGAAATCTACTTCCATAGTGATACTGCCTCAGAAACCCAAGGAGGGTCACTATGGATTGGATCTAACTCTATAGCACATAACAACAACAAGTTTGATTTTATTTTTGATACTTCTGTACCTGTGCCAATCTTAGGTAGCTGCCTGCTTTCATTAGTTCTCTGCCTAAAGGACTCCCTTTAGCATTTCTTATAAGGTTGGTCTGGATTTTAAAAATTCTCTTAATTTCTGTTTATCTGTCAATATCCTAAATTCACCATCATAACTGAGGGAAAATTTTGCTGGATATATAATTCTAGATAGGCAATTTTTTTCTTTCAGGGTTTTAAATATGTTATCCTACTGCCTTCCTTCTTGAATGGTTTCTGCTGAGAAATCAGCTTAATCTTATTGGTTCTCCTTTGTAGGGAACTTTCATTTTTCCCAAGATACTATCAGGATTCTATCTTTGCCTTTAGCTTTGGAAAGTTTGATTATGATATGTCTTGGTGATTTGCTTTTGGTGTCTAACCTATTTTGTGTTTGTTGAATGCTTATCTTCTCTTTTTTCATGATAATAGGTAAGTGTACTTCCAAGAAATTTTTAACAATTTTCTATGTGCTTTTAAAAATCTACTCTTGTTCCAATCATGTATAAGTTATTCTTTTTGAAGATGTCTCACATAATTCTTAGAGTTTCTTCATTTTTTTTTCATTCTTTTTTCCTAATTGATCCTCTAATGTGTCTTCAGTTTCACTAATTCTGTCTTCCATTGATTCAATTCTATTGCTCTCTTCTCCCAATGCATTATTTATTTCCAATACTATTAATCTTCTAGATTTCTATTTGCTGGTTTTATATCTTTGTAATTTTACATTTATTTTGTCAATTTTTTCTTGTATTGTTTTCCTGAATTCTTGGAGACTTGTGTCTGTGTTTTACTTGCTGTCATTCTTAATTTGGTGAAGGGTCCTAAATATAATTATTTTTAATTCCTTATCAGAGAGTTCCAATACCATTTCTTACTCCAGAAACTTTTCTGGCCCTGTAATTTGGTCACTTCCTTAAGGCACTTTGTCCAGTTTTTGTGTGATTTGCAATTATCTATCGTCTTGGAGACACTGTAATGTTATTGTTATTGTATTTATTTGTTGATTTTATGTTGGTTTGCTTCCCTTTTGGGGAAAA